TCATCACATACTGACAAAACCCTGAGAGGAAAAGGTCTTTTGATGGTGTGTATTGGAGACTTCCTGGACTAAATCTGGGTGGGGGTGGGAGTTCAGGAAGGTTTCCCTAAGGAAGTGACTTTTAAGGTGAGCTCTATAGGAATTATGCAGGTGGTTGGGCAGAGAGTGTTACAGGCAGAGGGCATAGCATGCACAAAGGCTCTAGGACAGGGTGGGGCTTGAGGACCTGGAGGGAATCCAGAGAGTAAGGTGGAGAGTATATAAGTCAGGGCTGCAGAGGTGGAAGAGCCCCGAACATAATAAGGCTTTGTTGGTCTGTCAAGGCTTTTGGCTTTATCCTAAAATCAAGGGACGACCTACCACTGTGTGAGGTCTGCTTAGATTTGTATTTTGGCTGAGAATGAACTGAAGGCCAAAGGTTGGTGTGAGAGCTAAGCTGAGAACCTATTGTAATCCAGGCAGAAGGTGACGTTTTGGGCGGGGGTGCTGATGTATAGACATGGAGTTGAGAGATTTAGGTGGGGAAACTGACAGTGCTAGATGGGGGCCATGCTTTCTCCCTCTCTCCCCCTTTCTGCCTGGGGTGTACGCCTGTCTTCCCTAGTTAACTCCTGCTCATCCTTCAGTTAGCAGCTTAGTGTTTCTGTGTCAGGAAGCCTTCCATGATCTGCCAGATAAGGTGAGATCCTATCGTACCCTCCTGTTCTCCTTTGTGCTTCTCCACAGCGTGTTTCACAATTGAAATGTGTGTGATTACTGGACTAGCTCTGATAGGGCAGGGGTTTGTCTGATATGCCTAACCTTATATTAACAGGTGTTCAGATCGATATATGATTCATAGTAAGTGGATTAATGAATATTTGACTGGTTTATGTACAGCTTAAATATTGGTGGGATGGGTTGAGGCGTAACATACCATTCATTTAATATGGGGAAGTCTGTAGAAGACCAGTTTTGAGGAACTGATGATGAGTTCTGTTTCAGACATGGTGAAGTGATGGTGTTTGAAACAGCTACAAGGGAATGTCCGTGGAAGCTGGATTTTGAGGCCTGGAGCTCAAAGGAGAGGTCTGGTGTGGAAATGATACATGTAGGGGGTTTTCAGCATAAAGACAGTTATGGAAGTGGTGGGATGGAGGCTGTGGTGGATGAGGGAACCTAGGAAGGGTGTAGGACAAGAAGAGACCAGAACCGATTATTAGGACTCCACAGTAATAGTGCCACTTGGAGGACACCACTGCCAACAGGTTGAGAAGTGGCAGTGAGGTAAGAGGAAGACCAGGACCATGGGGCATCCTGAAGTCAAGTTAAAAGATGTTTCAGGAAGGAGCGAGCGATCAGCAAATGCTACTGAGAGGCCAAGCGAGAGGAAGACTGGGCAGAATCTGTTGGATTTAAGAGTGGGTCATTGCAGCCCACGAAAACTGCTGGTATGGTAGGGATGGGAATTGGACTGAAGTGAGGCCACCTTTGAATCCCTCTGCTGCATTTCAGAAACGGTGTGAAGGGGAAGAGAGAGGGGCTCCAGGAAGATATGCAGCTGAGAGTTTTTTAAGATGGGAGAGACTCAAGGATGTTATGTTAAATGCCACTGGGAAGGATCTAGTTGAAAAGGAGAGGTTGAACATAGAGGAGAGAGGATTGTGACACTGATGTTTCTGAGGCGTGGGAAGATACAGGATCTCAGGGCAGTTGGAGGGACTTGGGTAGGAAGGAGAACAGTAATTCAGGAGCGGGGCTCTGCAGCCCCGGGTGGAAATCCCAGTCCTGGCGCTCTTCTGACCTTAGGCGTCTTTCCGGGCCTCAGTTTCCTCACTTGTAGGATGGGGCAGCACCCCGTTACCTGCTGCGTAGGATGCTTGAGGACACAGGAGGTGACTAACGTGAAGTAGCATATGGCAAGTGCTTGGTGAGCGGCGACTGGCTCCTCTGGCCTCAGTGCTGTGGCCCGGGCTGGGTCTCTGGGGCATACTGTCCTTGGGGCTGGAAGCTGGAGGCCGCAGTGGGTGGTGCGCGCAGCGGTGCCCCCGTGGATGTGGTGCCTCTGTGAACATGGCCCCGCCACTAACTCGGCTGTCCTCTTCCCCGGGGCGCATGCTCACCCTGCCCCGGCCCTGCCACACCCCGCGCCGCTGCTCGTCCATCCTGGCATGAACCACCTCNTTTGAGTGTATGGGTTTTTTTGGTTTTTTAAAGTGTGTGCGATCAAGTGAAAATAAAGTAGGGACTGTGAACATTTGTTTTTGTTCTGTTCAAAATCTCTCATAACTCAATTCTTTGGGATTAGTACTTGTATCAAAGTGGATTAATGAATATTTGACTGGTTTATGTACAGCTTAAATATTGGTGGGATGGGTTGAGGCGTAACATACCATTCATTTAATATGGGGAAGTCTGTAGAAGACCAGTTTTGAGGAACTGATGATGAGTTCTGTTTCAGACATGGTGAAGTGATGGTGTTTGAAACAGCTACAAGGGAATGTCCGTGGAAGCTGGATTTTGAGGCCTGGAGCTCAAAGGAGAGGTCTGGTGTGGAAATGATACATGTAGGGGGTTTTCAGCATAAAGACGGTTATGGAAGTGGTGGGATGGAGGCTGTGGTGGATGAGGGAACCTAGGAAGGGTGTAGGACAAGAAGAGACCAGAACCGATTATTAGGACTCCACAGTAATAGTGCCACTTGGAGGACACCACTGCCAACAGGTTGAGAAGTGGCAGTGAGGTAAGAGGAAGACCAGGACCATGGGGCATCCTGAAGTCAAGTTAAAAGATGTTTCAGGAAGGAGCGAGCGATCAGCAAATGCTACTGAGAGGCCAAGCGAGAGGAAGACTGGGCAGAATCTGTTGGATTTAAGAGTGGGTCATTGCAGCCCACGAAAACTGCTGGTATGGTAGGGATGGGAATTGGACTGAAGTGAGGCCACCTTTGAATCCCTCTGCTGCATTTCAGAAACGGTGTGAAGGGGAAGAGAGAGGGGCTCCAGGAAGATACGCAGCTGAGAGTTTTTTAAGATGGGAGAGACTCAAGGGTGTTATGTTAAATGCCACTGGGAAGGATCTAGTTGAAAAGGAGAGGTTGAACATAGAGGAGAGAGGATTGTGACACTGATGTTTCTGAGGCGTGGGAAGATACAGGATCTCAGGGCAGTTGGAGGGACTTGGGTAGGAAGGAGAACAGTAATTCAGGAGCGGGGCTCTGCAGCCCCGGGTGGAAATCCCAGTCCTGGCGCTCTTCTGACCTTAGGCGTCTTTCCGGGCCTCAGTTTCCTCACTTGTAGGATGGGGCAGCACCCCGTTACCTGCTGCGTAGGATGCTTGAGGACACAGGAGGTGACTAACGTGAAGTAGCATATGGCAAGTGCTTGGT